TGTTATTGCAAATTTCGTAATCGGACCACCGCCATTTTGTAGCTATTTTTATTACGAATAAAATCTTGTCCTAAGTATTTTTTCGTACTAAGTCATCCCACTGAGTTATTTAAAGAAAACTACTAAACAAATTTTTTTCACGATTAAATTGTTAATAACTTTTTTTCCTGATAAAATACTTTGGTTATTGTACTCATCATTTAAAGTATTCCTGTGTAGTTATTTCCGAGTTATCAAGGAAATGTCACCAACAGTAACTTTTCGGCCACTGGCGACTGGACTATTATCATGTATTTGCTTTGAGATTGTAAATTATGTAAAAAATACTTTATTTCACTTATGGGATATCAATCGAGTATGACGCTCATTGCGTAGGTAAATAACTATCAACCTTCTTAAATGTAATACATATTTAAAAAATAGCCCATCCCTGCATGGTGTACTAATAATCATACCTATATTGCGTTGTTTGTCGATGAAAGTAAAAGTGAAATTTTGAAAAAAAAACGGCGGATACAACTTTCAGTTTCTTTGATATATAATTAGATGAATGTATTCACAATATTTAAATATTTACTGGAGACTTTAACTTTCCTTGATTTTACTAGGCTCATTAATGCATTTGATAAACATCACACTTATGAATGAAAGTTGATTAGATAGTTGCTGTAGGAATTATATTTTTTCCATAATACCATGAAAATTATTTCATCATCACTATTTAGTTTTAGTACACTGTAAATAAATCGGTCTGAGTGAAAGCAAAAAATGAAAAAATTTTCAGTTAATATTGGGCATTTTGGTAATTTTACACAATATTGATAATATTTGAACTAAAACTGATAATTTCACTCATAAAATTTTAGTTGTACTCATATTAATAAAGTGAAAATTTCACTCAATCAGGTGTGAACAGAAATTATTGAGTAAAATTGAGTAAAAATAGGTCAAATTTTTCTTACAGTGTACCTAAACTTTTTCAGCAGTTTAAATGTAACAAGTACTTTGTGTGAAATGTAAAAAATACTACCTTTTAAATTTTCTTAAAATTCTTCATTTTCTAATATAGTATAAAGTTTCATATCTTATAATTTTTTAATTTATANTTATGTAAAAAATACTTTATTTCACTTATGGGATATCAATCGAGTATGACGCTCATTGCGTAGGTAAATAACTATCAACCTTCTTAAATGTAATACATATTTAAAAAATAGCCCATCCCTGCATGGTGTACTAATAATCATACCTATATTGCGTTGTTTGTCGATGAAAGTAAAAGTGAAATTTTGAAAAAAAAACGGCGGATACAACTTTCAGTTTCTTTGATATATAATTAGATGAATGTATTCACAATATTTAAATATTTACTGGAGACTTTAACTTTCCTTGATTTTACTAGGCTCATTAATGCATTTGATAAACATCACACTTATGGATGAAAGTTGATTAGATAGTTGCTGTAGGAATCATATATTTTTCATAATACCATGAAAATTTTTTCATCACTATTTAGTTTTAGTACACTATAAATAAATCGGTCTGAGTGAAAGCAAAAAATGAAATTATTGAGTACATTTTCAGTTAATATTGGGCATTTTGATAATTTTACATAATATTGATAATATTTGAATTAAAACTGATAAATTCACTCATAAAATTTTAGTTGTACTCATATTAATAAAGTGAAAATTTCACTCAATCAGGTGTGGACAGAAATTATTGAGTAAAATTGAGTAAAAATAGGTCCAATTTTTCTTACAGTGTACCTAGACTTTTTCAGCAGTTTAAATATAACAAGTACTTTGTGTGAAAGGTAAAAAATACTACCTTTTAAATTTTCTTAAAATTCTTCATTCTCTAATATAATACAAAGTTTCATATCTTATAATTTTTTAATTTATACTTTTAAGTAGATTAGTTTTAAGACATAATATCTAATTGTAAGTGGATTTTTACAAAAGCAGAACTAAGCCATTTTTTAAGAATTTCCTACTCTGAAATGACATTCTAACCTGTTTTGAATTGTTAATGTGCGCCTACACACCATTACGGTACAACTAAGATAAGAAGCAATTATTTGCTACTCGAAGCTGAAGAAATATATCTGAGCCAAGAACTTGTTTTACATTTTTATTGAAATATGTTGACCACAGGATGGCAAGGATGTTGCAAAAAAATAAAAGTCTTGAAACAAGACTAATAATGTATATACCGGGTGATTTTTTTAATCTGAAACTTTCAGATATCTCGAGCAATATGCACTCTACGAAAACTATGTACATAATCAAAATTGAATCGCTCCACGGAGGGAATACATAAGTCCTAAAATTAATCTATACAGCAACAAACAGCAACTCATCAATAATGTCATGTACACAGGAAATCACTATTTATAACGTTTTACTATAAATGATACTTCATTTATCTTTTTTATACAGTGTTCTAGGAATATTATACAGGGTGGTCCGAATTTTATGCAGGAAACTTCGAGGGCAGATAGATGTCTTTAAAATAATATGTGTTTGCCTTATAAACATAGGTCTGGAACAACACCGTTTTTGAGATACAGGGTGTTGAAGTTGTCAAAAAAAATGATTTTTTGTTTATATCTCCGGAATCTATTAAACGATCTCAATAAAATTTGGTACATATAATGTATGATAGTAGGCTTTATATTCCCTGAAATATGAGCTTTAAAGGTTCAACCAGTGGTGTACAACTGGACAGGAGTCACCCCTTTTTTTACAAAAAAAACTACGCCACTGCATTTTTTACATGTCATTGTAACTGATTTATATTTTAATTCACAAAATACGTACAAAGGTGACTATAATTTTTTCCCTAAGATTCGCCGTTCTCAAGTTATTCATACCAATACAATTCCCTTGTGGCAGACACTTCTAACGATAATATTACAAGAATATTTGTTTATGTTTAAAAGTAAGTGCAATTTGTAAGCACATCAACAAAATTATTTACACTCCTTTCTACACCACGGTAGTGTGCGATATAAACAAAAAATCAATTTTTTTTAAAACCTCAACGCCCTGTATCTCTAAAACGGGGCCGTTCCAGACCTATGTTTATAAGGCAAACACATATTATTTTAAAGAGATCTATCTACCCTCGAAGTTTCCTGCATAAAATCGGAGCACCCTGTATATCTAAATTACAAAGAAACAAAAGTAATTTCGAATAGATACAAAGTGACTGATCTTATATTTAATTATTAAAATTCTTATTTATTAAAAAATACATTTAACTGAAGTCTCTTCATGACAATATGTACAGAGTGCGTATTAGTGTAGTTGATCTACACCATCTTTAAAACATGATTATCGATTTTGACGTTATTTGATTTGTTGTAGTTACGATTATTAATTCTTTGTTGCAGGAACACTCGTCCCTCATAGGCAACGACGACAACCTGGGCCCCGTGCTGCTCTCCATCAAGACGGAGAACGTGGCCAACCAGGAGCACACCCGTATCCTCCTGCGGCTCCGCACCGGAACCATGCACGAGATAGTCCCGTCCTCGTGCTTAGGTTCCAGCCCCAACCCGGCCAAGATGGCCAAGCTGCTCAACGAGCAGCTCAACATTGAAAACTTTGTACCTGTTCTGCATCCCAAAGCCTCCCAGTTGATAGCCAACTACGACGAGCACGTCCTCGTCACGAACTTCAAGTTCGGCGTCCTCTACCAACGGTACGGACAAACTACCGAGGAGGACCTCTTCTCCAATAGCGACACCAGCCCCGCTTTCGACGACTTCCTCTCGCTGCTCGGACAAAGGATACAACTCAAGGATCACAAAGGTTACAGGTAAGTCCTCTTCTGAATCTATTTAACGTATCTCCAAAGAGTCCCGAAACACTGTAGCCAATTCTGTCTTATTCGTTTGATAGTTTAATCTTACAAAGTGCAAAAGTCTGTGGATTTCAATTAGTTCTATCATAGAGAAAGGTTTCCTAAGCAGCCAGAATCTCATTAATGCCAAACTCTTGCAACGCAACTTCTTCCGTGTCCTGTTAAAAATCTTGCAATTTCTTTGACATTGAAGGAATGCCAAAAGCTGGCTCTGCTCCTAGCAATCCGTTGCAGATCCTTTTTTGCAACATTATCTGCCTTTTCGTTTCCTTTAGTGTCTTTATATCATGGAACCCTAACCATCCACTTTGTGTTAGTGTTTGCCAGTTCATTTAGCAATTATAAACAGTCTCGAATAAGTTTTAAACGTACAAGGCATATCCACGAAGTAAGAGTACTGAAACTCTGATACTCGGTGGTTTTTGTTTTCGACAAAGGTGTTAGGAGCAGAACGTGCGCTCATTTTTCTCGGTCAATTGAGAACTGTTGTTGTAGTGGCGTATTGAAATGAATACAGCTATTCCGAATCCCGCCAACTACGTGAGGTGAATAACGTGATCCAGTTTCTTATTGCAAAGGGAACGGTGCCGTTCCAATCCAGCGCTTCGAACTGGAATTACTTGACTGTATTGTGACCGGCGATGAAACTACACCTCTGAAACGAAAAGACAATCAATGCAGTGGCGACATCCGTCTTCACCATCAGCGAAAAAATTCAAAACCGTTTCGGCTCGAAACATCATATCAACTATGTTTTGGGACCGTAAAGGCATTCCCCTCTTGACTTTTTGCTCCAGGGGGAAAACTATTAATGCTGTGAGATACTGTGAGAACACTACAGAGGGTGAAACAGAACAAAAGAAGGGGAATGTTAACGGAGGAAGTGTGCTTGTTGCAAGACAATGCACGCAGTCAAAGCCACAAAGCAACTCTTGGATTCATTTGGTTGGAACATCATCAACCACCCCGCCCACAGCCCTGACATGGCACCTTCTGATTTTCATCTTTTCCCTTAAGGTGGGTGGAAAAAGGTTTTCTACCGACGCGACGATGAGGTCCACAATGCCGTAAAACAATGGGCCTGAGAAGCGGCGGGATATTTTTTTGACAAAGGTATCAGGAAGCTGATCCCTCGACTTACAAAGTACATTGAGGTTGAAGGCGACTGACTACGTCGAAAAATAGTCTTTGATGTACCTTTTCGACTTTTAAAAGATTCTCTTACGTTGTGGATATGCCTCGAACTGTATGGAAGCTCCAAAGCTTCTTTATCACTTGAGCCTTGGTCTAGTTATTTTATCCCTGGTTACCCTGTCTGTTTTGGACCATCCTTAAACTAAGCTTCATTTGTCATTGTATACCGATTTCGAATGTAATCGATTCTCTAGGTCTAGGAAGATGGAGTTCTCTAGATGAAAGTTTATGGAAGATGAATCTTTAAATTGCTCTTAATACCTTTAAGGTGCCATCCTCCAATTGTTATTCATGATGCGGGCTTTCATTTTCCACAACAAGTAGCGGTAACAAACGTAACAATATCTCAAGAAAGCTATTGGAGTCAACACTATCACTACTGTTATACCAATATAGAGTAATACCAGTATCTTAATTGTATTTAAATTTTCTTTTGTGGTGATCTGTTTGACCCTGGGCCGCTATCAAAATCATTTAATTTCAAAGAAATATTTTTATTTTACACCATCGATTCTAATATCAGCTTAACCCATCATCGAGTACCTAATTATCTACAACAGAGTGATGTTGGTTGTATTTTGTAATAATTCGATGCCAGGAAATTTGATTTTCTTTTTTTTTTAAGGTAGAATATAGAACCATAGATAACCACACAAGAGATAATTTTCTTACATCTTNAGTGGCGACATCCGTCTTCACCATCAGCGAAAAAATTCAAAACCGTTTCGGCTCGAAACATCATGTCAACTATGTTTTGGGACCGTAAAGGCATTCTCCTCTTGACTTTTTGCTCCAGGGGGGAAACTATTAATGCTGTGAGATACTGTGAGAACACTACGGAGGGTGAAACAGAACAAAAGAAGGGGAATGTTAACGAAGGAAGTATGCTTGTTGCAAGACAATGCACGCAGTCAAAGCCACAAAGCAACTCTTGGATTCATTTGGTTGGAACATCGTCAACCACCCCGCCTACAGCCCTGACATGGCACCTTCTGATTTTCATCTTTTCCCTTAAGGTGGGTGGAAAAAGGTTTTCTACCGACGATGAGGTCCACAATGCCGTAAAACAATGGGCCTGAGAAACGACGGGAGATTTTTTTGACAAAGGCATCAGAAAGGCGACTTGTATTTTGTAAATAATTCGATGCCAGGAAATTTGATTTTCTTTTTTTTTTAAGGTAGAATATAGAACCATAGATAACCACACAAGAGATAATTTTCTTACATCTGCATTCTTGAAAATGAATTCATTTAAGATAAAAAAAAATCGTTAATCGTATCAGTACCAAAATTAATACATAGGTATTTAAGTTTTGTTCATTTAATTTATTTTTTATTGCAGGGGTGGTTTGGACATCCAAAACGGTCACACGGGAGACACGGCGGTCTATGATGTCTTCAAGGAGAGGGAGATCATGTTCCACGTGTCCACACTCCTGCCGTACACGGAGAACGACCCGCAGCAGTTGCAGAGGAAGAGGCACATCGGGAACGACATCGTGGCGATCGTTTTCCAGGAGGAAAACACGCCGTTTTCGCCCGACATGATAGCGTCCCATTTCTTGCACACCTTCATCGTCGTGCAAGCCATCGATCCCAACTCGTCTAATACAAGGTAGGATTCTAGGTCTTTTTAAAAAACTAACTAGTAATAAATTATTCAAAATAAAACTCAAAACGATACGTTTAAATATAATTAATATAAAAACACGTTACCGTATTGAGATTGATCAATAATGTGATCATTGAAACCATTTTGCATAATAGGCTTCTTGCAGAAAAAAATATTTTAATAGTTTTCGTATCTACACTGAATACTACAAACAGTGTGTAAAGATTTTGTTATATCAATTTATTTTTAAAACATTATTAGATATTAAAGTTTTAATCGGTTGACGTCATCGGTAAGTAAATGGCAAGCGCGACATATACGCGTTTCGACAGTGCAGCTGACTGCTTTGGTTATTAAATGTGTGGAGTGGTGTCAATAAGCAGTACGATACCTTATAACGAGCGTTCAAATAAAAACGTGGTCGAAGTTGGCTCTGACACATTGGACGTAGGGAGTAGCTTATAGCGACCAACTTAACCTCATTTCTCAACGAGCTGTATAGCAGCTGTCAGTTTCAATAACGTTAATGACTATATAACTTTATTTTAAAGAATAATCGTGATAACAATAACAAACAATTAAAGGAGCTGCGGAAAG